TTTTCAAATGTTGGCAAATTTTGATAAGAAACGTGTTGACATCAGCTATCCCAAATGGCGTGGTTAAAAATTGTGACCTCCAAAACTAAAGATTTCCAATATTAGAATACTGAACGGCAGGAGTTGTCGTTCGTAAGTTTTTGCTGTAATTGGTCAAAGGGAGACAACTTAGGAGTACAATATAGATGCTTGATACTCAAGATCGCACAAAGAGGGGGAGTTGATATTCATTTGATAAACAGAATTAATTTTAAATAAATTAATTCCCATTAACTATCAATTATACGTAGTATAGCAAACTATCAATAATACGTAATATAGTTAACTATCAATAATATGTAGTATAGTTAACTATCAATCGAGTCACGTCACGGCACTGTGTTGTATCTTTGAGCAAGATACTTTACTCCGCTTGTTCCAGTCTACTCAGCTGTAAATGAGTACGTGGTTGGACAGTGCTAGAATTGTTAAATTATAGTTGTTAGCGACGAAATGGCAGCACCGGCTGTATGCTCCCAAGGGAGTTGAGTAAGATATTGGCTGGATGCAAAGGCCCTATAACCACGGATAATTATTTGTGAACTGTTTTGAGACGACCTACGAACTAGGTTGTGATAAAGCGGTATATAAGAACCTCCAATTATTAATATTATTATTAAAGCAAATCAACAACATCGTAAAGACACTGAATCTTACGCCTTTCATTCATCGTATTGAAAACGAAAGCTGAAATATAAGGACGTTTCAGTTACAAACTGTAACACCTACGTTTTGTTGATTTGCTATTCAGGGAGAGGCTTGTTATCTGTCGTCCAACCCTTTTGACACCATACTATGATATTGTCAATAAAACTTATTGAAATTAATTGTCAACACAAACGTAATTAACAACCCAAAATCGATAAAAAATAATGGGCATGTTATGAACAAACATAGTGACCATTTAAAAAAGTACAAATACGATAAGACAAAATGTTCCGAAACGATAGGTGTAACTTTGCAAAATTAATTGTCTGTTGTTCATTGTGAAAAAACATGAGTTATGCTGTTTTTGTCACATAGATTTTGAGTCTATGATATTCAGTCAATCATTTACTTAGAAGTATAATTAATGTATTGCTAACATGGGAATATGTATTACAAATTCTGTTCAAATTTAACAGCCCTGTCAATATGAAAATTTGATACTTGTTTATAAACTAAATAGGAACGTTTTGCAATATTAATATTTTTTTGTACTCAATACTCAAATGAAAATTGCCAAACGACTCGTTTTCGGCTCTTGACAAATTGGCACAAATATCTTTTTCATATTTGGAATTGTTTCATCTGTGTACATAGTTATGATATTTTCTGTAGCGCACACGATCTGACTTTTACACATTCTTGTTCATTTTACACCAGCTATTTTCTAATATATAAATCGAAGGGTATTCTGATATTTGTGTTGAATATAATTTATATAAATTATAATTATATTTATATAAATATAAGTTTAAATAATTTAAACTTATATTGAATTTAAAGTATTATTCTATTCGACCCCTGGTAAGGGTCTCAATGTAAATATTTCCTTTTGTTCATATTTTTCTAAAGCTTCATTGATTTTTAATTGCAGTTTTGTTAACACTTGCGTTTTAAAGTTTAGTTTCTAAATATACTGTCATTTTCGTAATGATCGTTGGTGACTACTACATTAAGATTGTATGACTGTTAAACAAAGATATGATGAATCATTAATTTGCTCTGTCAAAAAATAAAATAGGATAACGATATAACCTTATTTTTTCAGTTTTGATCAAGTTAACAAAATTTTGACAAGTCAGGCTCAAAACTTAAATGTCATGCTGGCATGCAATGAATTTGTTCAGTTATTATTTTATCAAAAAGCTACAATTCTCCTCATATTACAATCGGTCTGGCTTGGTTAGGCTCGACAAAAAAGGTTAAAAACCTTCAAATATTTTAATGGTTGTTGATGAATAGTTATAAAGCAATACTGAGTCAGTATAGATAATATGTACATTTTGATTTGATGATAATGCGTACATATTTTACCATACAACGATGCATCAGATGGTATGTACTTATTAAGCAATATTCGTGTTTTCTAGAGACTTGCCCCCTAATAAGTCCACCGTAACATTAAACAAAATAACAAAATAACTTCAGACAATAACGAAAGGATGAAATACTTCCATTTAATGTAAACAAACATAATGATGTAAAAAAAAAATGAAAACAATTTTAGATCATAAATGTAGAATGCACAAACAGAAGGAATTTAAAACACCACAGAAAACCTTTTATTGTCTATTGTCAAACTAAACTGTTTTCTTCTTCTACTTCCTTACAATGACTTCCTGATGCATACCTCGAGTCTTTCTTGTCACGTGATAGCATGGGAAAACATAAATGATCGACGATACCGGCTCCAAATGAATCTCCTGCAACGTTGACTATTGTCCGAAATCGCTCACTGAATTTAGAAACAATAAGAAATGTTATGTAAACAATACAAAATAAAACACGTTTTTTACTTTATTTTATTGTCAGATGCATGGATAATGACTTTGTTGAGCAGCTTGCAGAGCATCGGTCAGTCCTAGGTTTAATATAGCCAATACATCGTCGTTTTATACGGACTGTGTATCAGTTCCGACAGATACTTTTTTTCTTAAGCAATGGCATATTCTTAACTTATAATCAAATCAATGAATAAAAATAAAATTTGAAAAGGGTTTGAAAATTTGTATGAAAAGTAATAAGTAAATAACTCACAAAATCCAGTCAAACGTAGCGGTGAAGAGAACTTGGTCAGCAGGAAGTCCAACCGCGATTGCAGCCACTGTCATAATCATAAGACCTGTACCGGGAATTGCTGCCGCCCCTATAGATACTCCGATGGCTGATAATCTAACAAAACAATAGTTGAACATATAAGTATAAATTTTGTTTATTTTTTTCATTTTAACAATGTTAAAGTTTGTATGAAAAGTTCATCAAACGTTCCCTTTTCATACTGATAAAATAGATCAGGTAAAGTATTGAAAATATTCAATCCCATTAAACACTCATTAAAGTTGACCGAGATAATACAAATTAACATATCTATAAATCGTTCGTCATAACCTTAATCATAGGAGCTTACACAGCTGTTAAGTTTTGCTTTTATCTTTTATTTACCTTATCTAAGCTTTGATTATTACAAAAACAGTCTATAAACGTACCTTTTCCCATCCAATACGAAACACTTCCGACACATTTATTTATTAAGAAAGGACATCAGTGTACTTTATCCAAGGAGGAACCCTTCCGACGAATTAATTAGTAACAAACAATATACTTTATTTACCCAAAAGAAAATCCCGATTGAAGGTCTTCATATTAAAATCGAGGAATCGCTACTCCACACTATAACAAACATGTAATCAATAACGCAAATAAGTTTGTTAAATTATTTATCTCATGAAGTCTTAAGAACATACCCGATCACCACATAGCGTGCAGGGTCCAAAATAAATCCTAGACGATGAGAGATGAAAATAGTCAACATCGGAATATAAAGCGCAATACCGTCCATGTTGACAGTTGCCCCTATCGGAGCAATGAAATTGACAACACGGCTGTTGACCTTATTCTTCTTTATCAGTTCGTCCATCGTGAAGGGGAGAGCAGCCGCACTAGGATAGACACAAGCCATAATCGTTCATAGTAGACACTAATGGTATATCAACAAATAACATGTTAATTTAATGTTTGTTATTATCAATAAAATAAGCTTCACTATCAGAAGTAGATAATAACAGATACTGTACATTTTCTGAATATTAACATTATATAGAATTACTAACAGTACTATTGAATATAACCGTGAGCATTTTCTTGTAAACGTATTTGTGTTGACAACGCAGATTAGCGTTAAAAGGATGGCAGGAAGACGATAACGCAAAAAATATGAATACGTTCACTTTGAAGTTTTAAAACAATTAGAGCTTTTCCTAGATGTAAATTAAATAATTTATTAAACTTTATCAATTCTACAGAAACAGAAAACAAGTTTATCAACTGATATTAATCGCTCTTTCATCATGGTTTGAAGTGCGTGGTGGATCTAAATGTTGAAATAGCAAATTACCCGGAGAAACCCTAGGATGTAGGGAAGGTGATAGAGTACGTTTTTTTTTATTTCCAATGAGGCAATCGAACCGCGGTGCTTTTGGTGAAAAGGGATTACGGGTTCAAGTGCACCGTCAAGATGAATCTTGGTTCAATATTAAATTTGTGAAAAGGTTGGGTGATATTCTAAAAATGTATCTCAACGGAATATAGAAAGCAAGTCAGGCAACCAAAGATTTTTGACTCCATTTGTGAAATGTACTTGGTTGAACAGACAAAATGTGTTTTCTGATATAAAAGACGAATTCGGTACATTTGAATGTGAATTGATGTCATACATGTTATGCATACCTTGATGCAGTCCCGAATGCTGTCAGCAACGCCTTGGACATATTCCTAATGAATTTGTATGGATTTTTTCTGGTTACCAAGAAATACATGAAAGGTACGGTACCAAACCCGTGCAGCATAAGACAAAATAAAACTGTTGGTATAAAGACGACAAGCTCTTGCAGGGCTTCCGTCGGCTTCTCCATCCGTACTACTGTTGCTGCTATCATGAACGTCAATCCCACAGGGGTGAACCTGGGGAGTCAGAGAAAACCGTGTACTTATTTTATTGAGTTTGATACACATATACCAATTATTATATGTAATGATCTGCTTTTAAGCCACAAGATTGTTTACTTTATCATCGATTACAAAAAATACATTATAAAGTGAAATAAATTATAAATATATTATAAAGTCTGCTTCGAATATTTAAAATATATTGAACGAAACTTGAACCAATTTATGCACACTTACCAAATGTCATTTTCATGATTATCACCTTCAATGTTTGTCCTTTACTCTGAATAATCCAAGAGATGTAGCATTGTATGTGTACATATAACCTTGCATCTGTTATAACAATAGTGTATAACCCGTTTGGTGTAACCTTACATGTGGTTTGATCTAAAATGTGCCTTGTTCACACGGTATAAATCGGGATGTAGCCTTATATATGAAATGTTTAGCAATGATTATTATAATAATAACAATTCGAGGTTCTTCTATTAATCATGGATTTGCCATTTTTCATTATAATTTAGGAGAAAAATTGAAAAAATGAAAAGGGATCAGATAAACATGGATAGTGAATTCAACCTGCACAACACACCTACATATATATACATATTATCAAACTAAATTTTGATTTCATTTTGTTTAGAAGACTGATTCTTTTTTTAAAACTGTTTTCCCCAGATTTGGGACTTGTGAAAACCATGGTTACCACATCAAAAAACACCAAAATATGCAAAAAAGCGTGATTTTTAACCCAACATTTGACCCCCGCAAGTAAATTTTTTCTTTCTTAAAACCTGTCTGAAATTAAATATCGCCTGCTCGGTAACAGAAATACTCTTAGCATAGGTCATCCTGGTGGATTTTTCACAATATTTAGCCTTTGTTGTGTAGACACAGATTTATAAATGCCCAAAATTGTAGTTTCAAACCAAATTCGAATTTTGTTTTTAAATTATGAAGCCCACATAGTCCACTTTATCATGTATATGATTTTAAAATAACGTTAGGATTGTAGCGTTGAAATAAAATATTAATGTCAGTGTCGGCGTTAAATACAGTTGTATAACATTACCGTTTAGGTCTATGCAAGTTAACATAACCTATCACGAAATATAATGATACATATGGCATTCTTAATAGATCTCGTATTGCAGAAACATAATGTGAGTTGGTCCTGTAATGCAGACGGGATGTATTTTAGATAAAAGTGTTTTGTTAATGAAGTAAAAGAAATCAATAAAATAGTAAAATCGGTGTTGAATTAACAGCTGGGTTGTGTTTAAAAACTACAATAGATGAATATCAGCATTACCATATAAATATTAGGATTAACCGCATCATGGCCTGGTATATACACTGGAAAAAGTCCACGAGAGGTTTGGCTTTGTCCTCCATACTGGACAGAACACATCCGAGGAAAATGGACACAACAATTAATCCCATCATGTTGGTACCGGGGACAGATATAACCGTCGGAACCTCAACAGACTTAAAACTACCTGAAATTTAAAGGGCGTTTCGTAAAAATGATTTATCATCTGTATGTTCATGCTATTGGTATTTAATAACTATCGGATACTGAATGGGTTTTAGCTGAATGCAATATGTATTTCATGAGTATGGCAGAATACACTGATAATTTTATTATTAAATTCATTACATTTTAAAGTGAAATGTCTAAAAATATTGTTGCATCAAAAGACCTCGGGAATAAGTGGCTTACTATTTCACGCCAGGATCTAATGACACCCGCTCAACAACAAGGTTGTGCGCCTTTTGTAATCTGCTACTCAACAACATTTTACCGTATTTTGCTGGTTTTCTTGTGAGATTTGATTTCCCTTAATGTAAAAGTTACTTAGGAATGCTTATAACTGAGTGTATGTACTAAACATACTAAATTAAAACCTATTTTTCTACAGTCGCTTCATCTGCGGCTAAACAAGAAATATGCGGCAGCAAATAGAAACTGCCATTTTGATTGGTCCATAAAAATCAATGTTGGACCTTACATCATCATTACACTGACAATTTCTGACATTTCACGGTAAAAATTCTATAAAAAATCGATCTTTTACAGACAGCAAACGGTATCATTGGTCACTTAATTATTTATGTGATGATTTTTTTGAGCTATTTTTTCATATTCTGTCATTAATGTTATGCAAATTTTGAAAAATTGCCTTCAAAGAATAACGATAAATTGTGACTTAATTCGGGTACTACCATGATACAGCTTTGATTAAGCCTCATTAAACCGAAAGCAATTATCGTAGCTAATTTCTATATCTTTATTTAAAACCGCAAGCCATTTAAGACAAAAACATTTTTAGAGCTCGAAGATTGAGTTATAAAATTAAAAATATTTACTCCGGAAAATCTAAATCTGTCTGCTGGTTTAAGAAGTTGATTTACATCTTTTACTTGGTTAACAAGGAAGAAATGAGAGAGGAAACGAATAATTATATTTACTATGAATATTTAAACGATAAGATTGTGAATATATCTTACTTGACCAGTTTCTTCCTACAATGTTTGCTGTGTTGTTGAAAATGACGGACCCGGTATCATTTACAATCTCCACATTGTATTTAGAAAGCACGGTTTGTTTCTGAAAAATAGATTGGTGAAACTTTACTCACAATAACAAAAACGAACAATTAATGCAATTCATCACTATCATCTTTGACGTGCATTTCCGGTTAGTTTTTAGTAAGAGCTAATATTAGACGTAAATATCCGCCAATGAATGCTAGAAACATCACCTTTGAAAATGTTGCTTTCACCAGATTATCCGGAAGAACATTTCTGAAAAAGAAATCATGAGAATAAGAATATTGATCGCGGGAACCTTTTGCGTTTCGACAGTCTGATACAGTGTTATTCCAAATAATGTATCTATCATGATGAGCTGTTAAGTATTACAGAAAACGCTACTTCCGACGGTCAGCGTATCAGTGTGTGAGAGTACTGCTAGCGTAACAAAACCCATATTATATAATAAGTATATTGTCTGGCACTATCACTGCCGTTGTGAATACAGTTCCGGTATATGTACTGGTTACGTACCGGGGTATATCATATATTAAATGTATGAACGTGATTGCAAGCCTTTGTTGTTTGTTTTCACAATTATAACCATTACTATTATCCATATGTTGTAAAGCGCCTTAGAGTAATTTTACAAATTATATAGGGCGCTATATAAATGCTGTATATTATTATTATTATTATTATCTATATTGTTTTGATACATGTACGATATATAACAATATGACCCAAATTTAAATCGACTCCAACAAGTCATTTAGTATAATATAGAAAATTTAAATTATCAATTGATTTTGAATTTACCTCATTATATCCAAAACAGAATCTAGTTGGCTCATGCCATTAGAAATTTTCCCCGGTTGTTCTGCTGCTTCCTTGCCAATAGAAATAACAACAATGCCAATGGTGCCAGTGATGACAGCACACACTGTGGTTACAAGGTAGTAGATTAAAGCCTTCAGTCCGATACTGCCTGAGGTCTTCATCGATAATGAGGCCAGGGACGAGACAATACTGGAGACAACAAGAGGCACAGACACCATCCGTAGAGTGTTGAGCATAATGTCCCCGGGAAACTTGAGGTAAAAATGATTTCTTCTGTCCACAAGTGACCCCGTTGTTCTCAAAACACAGCCGAGTACGATGCCAAATAGCATTGACATAAATATAAGTATAACAAGCAGGTTTCTCCGTATAAATTTCGCTACAGCATTACCAGTTCTGTGTCTATTTAATGTCGCCATCTAGGATATCAAACAAAAGCTTTTTTTTAATTAAATCGACCAGCAAAATTGATGTTTCTGTGAAGTAGTCTTTACTTGGATATTTCATGTGAATCTACCACTTTACACTTGTTTTTTCGTTCTTTTGACCTTTAATAGCAGTGAAGAGGTACTTCACCAAATAAAAATGTTTAGAGTTACTTCCCTTGTCATGTTGTTCATTTCCTGTTTGCGGACTATGTATGTGCAGCTAGTTAATAGCAGCAATAGTAAATTGAAAATGAGAGATTGCAAATGAGCAACTACCTACATGTATACACTAATAACAATAGAAACACAAGTCTACAACTAAAGCAGTAAAGGAAAACGAACATAACTGGAATGGCCATAAACTAAGACAACACTCAACACCATACATGCTCACGGTCATTTCATTTTTTGAGCATGAAGGTGAATATGTTCTAGATACCCTCGTTTAAGAGAAATGTCTAAGTAGTTATGTGATTTATTGCCTTTCTATTCTCCTGTCATATAATTCGATGGTTTCCGGAAAAGGAAAATGCTATTGTTTCACACATAAATCATCGATAGAAGGATTATATTAACGGGAATTACTAGAAAAAAAATGCCAGTATATATATCAAATACCGTATTGAGACAACATAAATAGTATGGACTATAACGCAGGAAGTAAAACAGATGTGTTTGTCGAGGAAACACCAGTGATACTTTTGGGTCAATTGTTATCTGATAGGGATTTCACCGATTTCACCAGTCAGCGATCTGTGAAATATCAATTATATAGGGGAAAATCACCGTATTCGAAGTTAAATATCAATTTATAACATTTATATTAAGAAATCTAAACTCGTGATACCGAAATCTATTATCACCTTTGAACTGAGAAAAACATATGTGATATACAGTAATTGTGTGCTAAAAAACAAAGTGCTGATAATGACAAGTATTAATACACAATACATACCTTATACACCCTTATGCTCCTTCGCAGTTTATGATGACTGTTGCTATTGAAGAATGTTTCGCCTAAAAAGAAGTAAAAATATCTTTTAAACGTAAATGCATAAAGAAACCGCTGTTTTGGAAGAAGGTTCACACACAATCAGTAGACCGTACGAATATGTGTGTCTATCTGGGTTGACTTAACATTAAACACTTTCAACACCATTCAAAAATAAAGTTCTCCGTGTTTATACCATCAGTGTGAGAAACTGATTAGCATAGATACATGCATTTGATAAAAATACCTGTATATACAGGTTTAGACATTGAACGACAAGGCATTTTAATAATAAAAATTGAAAACCAAGATTAAGTGTATGTATAATGGTGTCGTAAACAAGTCGTTGTTGTAAAGGTCGACATCAAAATCTGTAGCTACATGTGTCCATTTAAATGGACTGCTCGGACAGTTGATTTTGTAAAACATTGTCTGAAAGGACATTGATATAGAGTATACGGATTTTCAAAGGTTTGGTAGGTACATACGATAGGTCCGAATCCGAATGTATTTTTGATGTAGTGGGTGGTCGTTTAATGAGAAAAAATCATATAAACAGTCTATTATCCTTTCTTCTGTAACCTCAACAATAAAGCAACACTTTACAGTTGTTGTACAAGCAGCTGTGGAATTTTAACTTAATAAAATGTTGCGTTTACCATTTTTTCAGATTTCTGTTTTCAAAATTGCACATTTTTTTTTATTGATTTTGAATATGTCAAAATAAACGAATTAACGCAAAGAAATAAAAATAAAAATCATATATTTTATTTAGTTATAAAAGAACAGCTTTAGCATAAGAAAAAAAATCATCCAGACCTTGATTCAATTAAATATAACGAGAACCATTTGCAATTTCGTTTATCATATACACCAAAAAATTAATGATATGTCATTTACCGAACATAGTATATATTGTTGATACTATCCCTTGGTTTCACTACGGATATCCATTCAAGAATAGCTGGATTAATCAGTGTTTCACAAAAAAAAAGAATTACATTTTTTTTTACCTTTCAATGACTATATGTATGGAATACATGCATATATAAACAATAATTAAGAATTAAATTTCGCTACTGTCTTTTGAAAAAGAAAAAAACCCACTTTTTAACGAATTATTCTTAGATAAGAATATAACATTTCTGTCCATGTTTTATCCTAGGGATGTTCTGCTAAATGAACATTCTGTGATTTTTGTACGTCCTATTTACTACTTGGCCGCATTTAACACGACTAGTCATTGACTCAATTTTGTCATCACTAATAATTAAAACCATTATTATGATTGAGATTATTAGCTATGTTATATGTATATAAGATGTGTTACATACTCGATATATCCTCTTTAGCGGTACGTGTCACAAATAACTCCCCACAATGTTCGACGAAATACATCACCATCCGTGCAGGTAATACGTCCTGTTTTAATCCCCTTCCACGTGTTTGTGAGGATATAAGAAACTATTGCCAACTTTTGGCAATAAAACATATCCAATTATCGTTATCNTAGACTCAGGTGACCGTTTAGGCCCATGGGCCTCTTGTTTTAGAAATAATGTCAAATGGTGAATACTGATAAAATATCAATACAATTTATAGATTTTAATATAGATGTGTATGAACCACAACTCATCTCAGTTAATGAGAGAAGGGTGAAACAGCGTCAGCATCAGTGTCGGGCGCTGGATAAAGGCGGGCATGTACTACTTAATGAGATACATCGTCAACAGAAACGTGTCGCCCCTAGGCCTGTTCATAAGCTTGTTGATCCCTGACATAAGGTAAGATGTATAAAATAAAATATGTTTTCTTATTTGTTTTCTTATTTTTAAAACATATAATATGCATTGTTAAAATACATACAATCATAACCAGCTATATAAAAGCAAGGTACCGGGGCACGGTAGTCTAACGGTAGGACGCAGGGTTCGTGACCGAAGGGTTGCGGTTTCGAGTCACGGTACGGCACGGCACTGTGTTGTATCTTTGAGGAAGATACTTAACTCATTTTGTTCCAGTCTACGCAGCTTAAAATGTGTACGTGGTTGGGCAGTGCTAGAATTGAAGAATGCTAGCTTTGAGCGCCGAATGGCAGCACCGGCTGTATGCTTGAGAAAGATATTGGCTGGTTGCAAAGGCCCTATAACCACGGATAATAATTTGTGAACTGTTTTGAGACGACCTACGAACTAGGTTGTTATAAAGCGGTATATAAGAACCTCCAATTATTATTATTATTATCAAAGCAAATTAACAACATCGTTAAGAGCCTATCTGACTGTGAAACAAACACTGATTGAAAACAACATATAAAGCAATGCAAACATTCTGGCAAATATAGTTAATATTGAACACAACAGCTGTAACACTTACAAAACAACATCGTAAAAGAGACATTTTAAACATATCATTTGAATTTGCATCAATGAACTAGTATAATTACTAAGTTTTAATTAATCTGTAGTGTCTAGTAGCAGCCCGTTAAATATAGCGAAATAAAAACTTGCAATGTAATAACAAACCGGAACGCTAAAATTCAGAGGAGAAAAAAATAATAAAAAAATAAAAATAAAGGAGGATCATACATGGTGAGGTATGGGTATGATAGTTTTTACTATTTATTTCTTATATCATATATAGTCTAAATCACAGTGAATTGAATATTGATAAAAAACAATTGGTTTGGTGTGGTTTAGTATTTTCTGTTCAGCGTCCTATCAAAAGCTAAGGTCATTCTGATGCCGACTTTATAGCTCTATCTCACTGAAATATCATGCCGAGGGTACCCATCATAGCATTCCGCCCGGTCACATTATACTGACAATGGGTGAACCAGTTGTAACAATTAACTTTAACGTAAAGCAGGGAATAACAACAACCATTTAATGGACTTAGATATTTCCGAACCTTGGGTCAGAACCCGTTGACTTCCTCACCTGGGCGAACGTTCAACATTAAAGCCAAAATAGAGGTGTTGCCAAACAAAAGGAGCTAGGAAATAAAAGAAGAATGAAATAAAGAACATGCGGTTGGTAACAGCAAGTGTATTCGTTTCTCGATCCGCGACCTGCAGGAGTAAAAACCATTGGTATACAAACTCATACATTAATAAAATCATACGAAACAATGTCTATTTTAGTTTTAGTTTGCATATATTGTGTGTGAACATTGAGCTGAAGTGGTAAGTAGATCGAATCTTCCTGAAAGTTGAATAGTATCATTGTTATTCACTTGGACCTCCATTGTGCAAGCAAATATTAAGAGTCTATGAGAAAAAGGGCTGTGACGACACTTCTATAATAACAAGCAAATTCGTGGAATTTATATCCCCCGCTTGCAGGACATATTGTAGGTTAACATTATTGAGGTTAGGTTTAAACATGTGAGTAGCGTGCAATTGAGACATAATGTATAACCACAAAGTTGCATATAAATGTTTTAAGAAAGCGCAAACTTTTTTGAATATGCAAATATGTGTTTATTAAATATTTGAATGTCAATTTTTGTCACAACACCTAAACGTTGGTAACTTCCGCAGAAAAATTGGTGAATTTAAATAAAAGCAGAATATCTCCGCGGCCATTTTGATGACGTCATAAAACCGACGTGACGCGCATGCGCGACTGACAACAATCATTTTCTTTAAGTACTCTTTCTATACTAATAGCTTGAAGCTTGAAGAAAAAAAAGCCCTATACCTCACTGATTATTCGTAAATATGTACAAATCACATCGGTTGGCAAACTTAGCATGAGTTGGATGTGCATAAGGAATTTGGTTGAAACATCTTAACAACAAAAAGTACTAATTGTAATGGTAGACCAATACATATGTCCCCCAAACTGCCCCCATAGTCCCCAAACTGCCGCCATAGTCCCCAAACTGCCCCCATAGTCGCAAAGATGCACCAGAAAAGGATCGCATCGCCATAGTACACCTACATTGTACATATTAAATTTGAGTGAAATTGAGCAATTTCTAAATTGCAACCAATCAGAATCCTCTGTGTAGTTGCTATGGCAACGGATCGTATGCGATTGAATCTGCAGTCCCCTGATACTCCTATATATACCAATTTTCAGCGAAATCAGACAATATCTAAATTGCGACCAATCAGAAGCCTCCCAGTGGTTGCTATGGTAACGAAACTTATGTGGTTGAACTTGCAGTCCCCTCTGTAACGACTTTCATCAAAATCTAACAATATCTGAATTTTCACCAATCAGAAGCCTTCTTGTGGTGGCTATATGGTTGCTATGGCAACGAAACCTATGCGATTGAATTCGCAGTCGCCTAATATCAATATTTACCAATTTTCATCAAAATCGAACAATATCTAAATTTCGACCAGTCATAAGCCTCAGTGTGGTTGCTATGGTAACGAAACTTATGCAGTTTTATTCGCAGTCCCCTAATGCCCCTAAATACAATTTTTCATGAAAATAAAAATATATGTCTAAATTTCGACCAATCAGAAGCGCCTCCATGTGGTTGCTATGGTAACGAAACTTATGTGGTTGAATTTGCAGTCCCCTTATCCCCCTCTGTAACGACTTTCATTAAAATCTAACAATATCTGAATTTTCACCAATCAGAAGCCTTCTTGTGGTTGCTATGGCAACGAAACCTATGCGGTTGAATTCGCAGTCGCCTAATATCCATATTTACCAATTTTCATTAAAATCGAACAATATCTGAATTTTCACCAATCAATAGCCTTCTTGTGGTGGCTATATGGTTGCTATGGCAACGAAACCTATGTCGTTGAATTCGCAATCGCCTAATATCCATATTTACCAATTTTCATCAAAATCGAACAATATCTAAATTTCGACCAATCATAAGCCTCAGTGTGGTTGCAATGGTAACGAAACTTATGCAGTTTTATTTGCAGTCCCCTAATGCCCCTATATACAATTTTTCATGAAAATAAAAATATATGTCTAAATTTCGACCAATCAGAAGCGCCTCCATGTGGTTGCTATGGTAACGAAACTTATGTGTTTGAATTTGCAGTCCCCTTATCCCCCTCTGTAACGACTTTCATTAAAATCGAACAATATCTGAATTTTCACCAATCAG